ATAATAATAATAATAATAATAATAATAATAATAATAATAATAATAATAATAATAATAATAATAATAATAATAATAAATATTTGGGTATAACATTATCAATTAAGAACACCATTCGAATATCGTTTACGAAAAAGCTTCGCAAACTGTTTTACAAAATCTGTCCAGCAGACTTCACCGTTTTGCTCTCACAAGCAAATTTATTCTCGGATTATTGATCAAAATTATCTTTGGATATTCCCTTTATTATATAATCAATGCGTATTATAAATCAGAAAATCGACAAAGTAATCAAATTAATGGAGTCCAAGAAAAATATAAGATAAGCAAACAAATTGGCAACATGATTATCGACCAGAAACTGAAAACTTTATTTGACAAAAGGCTCGAATTTTTCATATAACATAACGGAATTGTTTATGTTTCAATAACACCATCAATCGTTTCGCAATATCGCTATAACTCGAATGATTTTTTATTTTAGAACAGGGTTGAATGCTGAATATGACAAATGTTGCTAATTTTAACCTTAAAAGTCAAATATTTTGTTGAATCAACTTCCCAGAAGAGATTCTCAGCATAGTAATAATATATGCATACCATAGTTTATTTATACTGTAATGTAAGCAACATGATTTTTCGCGCAGATGTAATCGTACTTTAACGTATACGTGGTAATACGGTGTTATCTATAGACAAATTGTGATGCATGCAATATTAAATGCCAAAGTCTATCTATACAAACAGAATAATACTATCAGCATCCTTTGCTACGTTCCTTCCCCGACAGTCCAAATCCTCTCGCCTCGCAATATCTGAATGGCTCGTCGTCTCCGAAATTTATCTTTACTTTACATGGCCCATGAGCTCCGACTGTAGGTTACCAATATTCTCTCCGTTTTTAGTGAAAAATACAAATCCGGTGTTTGGATAATATCCACATCCGACAGTGTCTCCAATTTTACCCCACTCGGGACCATAGTCGCGGCCCCCATACGCATTATCGAATTTACAGCCGTCATCGGAGTGGTATCCAACCGAGTAAAGGTTCCAACCCGGAAGCCTAGCGTTGAGGAAGTTAAAATGGATAAGTCAAAAATTTAATTTGCAAAAATGAGTGGACTAGATCAGATTTCGCAATTATGTACCTAAATGGTGGATAAGGCTTTGTGGCGAGACCTATTGCTATTGTAGTGTCTTTAGACTTTGGGTTTGACAGAACAGTAACCTCAAAGTAATGCAATTCTTTTGATTCGTCAGGCGTCTGATCGTCAACTAATATGGGCACAAGATTACCTTTCTCGGTTTTAATTTGCTAAATTAAAATGTTAACATTAACAGAAGATATGGATAGCATGCAGACATACACGAGAACTTTAATACTCACCGGAGGCTTTCGTATTAATTTACTACCCTCAATACATTCGTCTCCATTTCCGTCAACTGCATCTGATGGAACAAACATCGGATAATTTGCTTGTACCATAGTACTCACCATCGTGTCCCTTGATTTGTTAAACTGCACCACACGTCCGTTTTCTGATACGACAGCCAACTGACGCTCAGAAACCGATGGCTCGGGAACGATTTGATACGTCGATGCACCACCTCGACCGCTTATGGCATTTCTCTGACGACAGCTTCAACTGAGGCGGATGCTGTTGGATATCCTGCTCTATACGAGTCAGTCGTCGCTTCATGCTTTTTTTCGCGCACATAGACGGGCTCAGGTGCGGGTGGCTGAATACCATATGAAGGAGGTAGATTACCAGATTCGAGATCGGAATATGGTGGGCATGGCATTGAAGTGGTTTCGCGTTTCTTTTTGCAAGACTTTATGACGTGGTCCACACACAATACACAAAAAATAAGCCCTACAGGCGTAAAGATTATGACGTACCCTACTATAATTGTCTTTCTATCAGGTCCATTATCAGAGCCATCGATACTTCCTCCTCCGAATCCTCCTTCGTCACCGCCGTCACCTCCTCCACCGATTTACACAAATAAATAGCATACTAGATGGAGTTACCAAATTATGGTTTTAGATTCAAAAATAATAATTTGAACTTTATGAAACCCGACCCCCATATTAGTAAGTCTCCTTATTCTCGTATTGCATGTTGTCTCTTTGAGTTTCAAAGTTTATACAATATAATAGCTGGTTCGCAAAGAAAAAGATTACGGATATTTTGCTGATTGAGGATATATACGGAAAACTGAAAATTGACGTTTTTCGATGGAATTTTGAATTTAATTAAAGTTTACATATTCAAAGACTACGTAATACTTAGTAATGATCCCAATAATTAAAGCAAAATCTTTTTCAGCAGAACAAAAAATTAAATTCGTGCACCCGACGACCGTGCAACCCTAGACCACTACGTAATATGCAGCAAATCAGCGTTTCACTACTATATAAACTGCACATGCTGCCACTGTAAAGTTCTACTTTCCGTTCGTCAATGTATTATGCGAGTGTATGTAAATAAGTATACCAAGTTATAACGTACTACCCACGGATTCGTAAGTGTCAATTATTATGTGCTTGCTTACGCGTAGACTGTGGGCTTACCCGTGTCTAATATTTTTGTATTTTATTTGACATTCATTACGTGTTTGCTTACGCGGCTAAAATCGAATATTCTTACATTCTTACAATATTTACGTCGTAAACAAATCGATACGTTACGAGTGTGGACCGGTCAGACATCATTTATGTCACGAAGAGAGTTGTCCGCTGCGTTCTTAAAAAATAATGACAACGCGCTGAATAATCTCAATGAATTACCGCAAACATTGAAATGGTAATGCGTTGAGTGACTGTTTTCCATAACATACTTATTCACAAAAGATGGTGCAAAGACATTTATAGCAATCAACAAGAAACCCTACATTTTGTACAAGATTTGATTCCAACATTCAACAGCAAAATTAGTTAAATATAATGCAGTTGATTGATTTGTATTGTCCAGCAGACCTTCAAGAGGAAGAAAGAGCAGATATCAATGAGCGAAAACCGTATGGGGAAATCGTGGGAGTTGCACGAGATATTACACAAAGAGCGTTCGATTTCACGGACGAGATATTCTCAAGAAACTGCTGAATCTGTTCACTGAACTGCAAAAAAATAGATGAATAAGCAGATAATTGACTGACGAAAAAAGCATCACTATTCATTAAAGGACGCCCGAAAAATTCTAAGCAAATCAAGCGAGAAAAGAATTGAGACCAGTCAAGCATCAAAACCAGTGTGGGAGTATGGACATGACAAGCCTAGTTAACTTCACAATGATTTTCGCCCATGTTGTTTAAACATAACATTACTGTTACCATTGATTTCACGATTTATTAATTTGACTTTCCCAGCAATTCGAGATTTTTATACTTTATTTAGTACATCGTTATTGACTGCACATCATATTAAAATCTAAATTGTTCGGATGCATTACGTCATGGGGTGCACGAAATTTTAGAAATTTATGGCGGTCACACAACAAAAGAATGTCAGTGAAGAGGACCTTACTTGAATCAACAGGCAGGCTGACATGAACTACTGTGTTTGAGAGATATTGCAGACAGGTCTATATCTATTGGTTATCCATTGGCCCATTGTGATCTCCATGCTAGAGACATTTTGATGCATCGAATGCATCGAATGCACGATATGGTGACTTTAATATAAGTCGCCGTGCATATGTGATCTTGGTCTCTCTCTCAATCGGAAACGTCCGAGTCTCATTTCAGTCACAAAGGGCGTCTTACCTTTTATCGCACCGGAACTCTTTTGCACTTTCAAATTCACTCACAAATCTGATGGCATTATTGCGTGTGTGTAATTGCCGGTGGTGGACCACCATTTAGAAGTAGAGAATTCGATAGAAAATTTACTTGTGATCTTCTCGGGGGACTGCGACTTCAACGCCTGAATCTGCACCAGAGGTGTACAAGAACCTTACCAAGTTGTGTTGTGAGGCCGATCCCAACAGGTACATGGGATGAATTTGACGAAACAATTTTACACTCATAAGGCGACTGCGAGATTCACCAGAAAAAAATGGAAATCAAATGGTACCAATACCCATGAGTCTTGGTGTTGCGTTACTTGTCCTGCGGCAAGTACGACGTGCTTACAATCGACAACAATTAGAAAGTGATCCTCCACGACCGATCGTACGCGGGGACATGGCAGGTATTTAGAAAAGACAATTTATTAGAGAGCTCATAGGCAACATCACATTATTGTGCGGAAGGTCAACCAAACTCAATATATCCACACCTTCTACAGCACATTTCATAACTGCGTACATCGCTTTAGAGGTACACGTAGCAAACGCTCTTCCGTCACGGGCGATACACGTTTATTGGTCGTCAACTCCAATACTGGTTATTCGCTTACAAAGTTTATTTCACGGTATCCCATCTGATGGAAGAGTTTTAGCATTCGGACACACAATAGATTGGTCGTATATCTCAAGTAAAGGGCTCGACATATTTACTTGACGCACTTATCGGGAACAGTTCTTCTCCTCTAGTCCATCAGAGGTTCTCTCATCATTTCCGTCGCCAATAACAATAACTGACGAGAAGGAATTTGCTTCATTAAATAGAATAACGTATTCCTTGGAGGCTCTTATTGGGGAGATAAGGATAGCGCCAAGAAGCATGTTGCCGAGAAAAAGAGCGAACTTGTACCTGCAATAACGACGAAATCTTCCAAGACAAATGGTTTGTTTTTCTGTGTTCTTTACTTGGCGCCCGGAGATTATTATCGGTTTCATTCACCGAACAATTGGGTTGTTGAAAAAAGAAGACACTTTGCTGGTATGAAGTTTGGTCGATATCATTTTCATTTTACTGCTATGGGAAATCTCATTCATTTTTATTTTTTATAGGAGAATTGTATTCTGTTTCCCCATACATGGCAAGAATTCTTCCCGACCTCTTTGTGTTAAATGAACGCGTCGCATTATTAGGCCGTTGGCGATATGGGTTTTCTCAATGGTTGCAGTCGGCGCAACTAACGTTGGCTCAATAAAAATAAACTTTGACCCGGTAAGGTAATCCAAACGTATATTCCCCTTGGTCATTTCTATCGAGTGTACATACGTTTCTTCCCGTATTGATATCAGTTTTTATTTGATAGGCATTACGTACAAATAACAAGGAGGACGTAAATATCGGCACATACGTTGAAGTATCATATGAGAATGCAAATAAACTTCTAGAAGGGCTGCCGCTTAGAAAAGGTGACGAGATAGGAGGGTTCTGTTCGGCTCTACGATAGTATTAGTATTGAAGCATTAGATGTCTTGTCGTCAATACGATCAAATGGAATCCATTCCAAATAGGGGTTGATTTGGTGAGGCTGCTTGTAATTGAGATTTCTTAATAACAAGAATTGAAAGCAGTGTCACCGGAACTCGAATGTAGCTACGCATTTTTTATTCAGGAACGAACGATTACCATTAACTCATTACTAGTTTCGTGTATTTATTACATATTCAAATAATCACCCCCGGCAAGATAGCTAGTAAGAGACGCGCACAATTTCATTTCAGTATCTTTTAACTCAGCCTCAACACATTTAATTAATTTAAACGGAAGAGGAGTAAAACTTCGAACTATATGTTTATTCAAAGAATGTTTGGGTCGCTAAAACTAATACTGTAGATTGACTTTAATAATTTATACGAACAGAACTAATTTCTGTCTTTGTAATCCGAACTACATCTCTTACTCCTC